AAGGGGGTGAAGCAGAAGTTTTGTTACCTAGAAGAGTGTTGCTCCTCTTCTGGGCTTAGTTGAAAAGCTCGGCTTTGTCTGGCTTGGGGCCTACAGTTCTCTAATTGATATGGGTCTTTGTGCTTTTTCTGGTAATTACTGACTGACTTTCTTGCAGGAGCTCCCAGCCACGCTCTGCTACTCAAAGATCTTGACGATGGGACATGAAATACCAAACAAGCACACCATTTTTCAATTCAAATGCATTGTAAAAAAGTTTTTGAGAGACAACAAAGACAATGGTAAGTGCAGATTTCCCTTATGTTGCTGGTGTTGGGAAGGGCGCTGCTGATGTGGAGGGCAGTCAGCGTGAATTTCTTTCCCTTCTCTTGGCACGTGAATGTCAAGGCAAGAAGATCGGTTTGTTATGGTAATGGAATTCATGCTGGTTTGCTGGTAATTTGGCAACGAGTTGAGCTTTGAGTTTGAGACTGCGTCTCTGGAGCAGCTGCAAATACCCATTGCTTTTTGGTAGCGGTGTAAGCAGCGAGCTGTTAGTGCATGGGAAACGTGGGATAACTTTGTGTGGAGCCTTTAAATAAATCTTCCCAGCAGTGAGCTGCGTGACCGTGCACATGAGCTCGCAGAATTACGTGAGCTAATAAGCTGAATCGGTGGCACTAATTAGACATAAATACGGTGATGCTGTTGCGTGGTTGTTTCTGTTTGTTTACGCTGGTGTCACTGTTGGAGGACAAATGCAAATGGGCTTGTTCTGGTTGGGTTTTGGAGAACTTTGTTACAGATAAACTCATCGGAGTTCATTGCACGCATGGCTTAAACAGAACTGGCTACCTGGTTTGTAGGTGAGTTGTCCTTAGTCAAACTGAATTCAGCGGTGGCATTGCCAGCTGCTGGTTGCTGCAGGAGGAAATAGTACTGCACCAGTAAAACCAGAGTCAAGTGATCCCAGACTTAAAGCTTTTCAGCTTCAACGAGGTGGTTGTTAGGGGGCGCTTTTTATCCCTGATTTCAGCAGACCGAATGCTGATATTCCATTCTGTAAATAGAAGCTCTGAAAACTAACCGGTTAGTTTTTCTTTTTGAATCATCGATAACCTGTCAATGTTTCCATAGTTAACTGTGTAATTAGAGCTTTCTTGCTGATCTGTTCAGGTACCTGATTGATGTTGAAGGCATGGAGCCAAATACTGCAATAGAGTGTACGTATGTGTACGTTCTTTGTGTTCAGGTGTGAAATGTTTATTGTGGGCTTGTGGTTTTAGATGGTCAAAAGATTTGGGCTACTCCAGGGAGATAACTGTGGTTTAGCTACGTGTGTGTGTTCCTGTTGTGTAGAATGGGAGCCAGAGGAGGAGGGGTGTTGGGGTTTCTGCAAAGTAATTGGAAAGAAGGAAATTAAGTTTACAGCCTGACTGTGGAGCTAACGAGGGTTGAGGGAACCTGGGGGGCACCAAGCGCTGGTCGGACAGTGCCGCGCTGCAGCTCTGCCTGCATGTCCGCCTTGTTGTGCGAAAGCAGAATCGCCCTCTGTGACCTGAGTTTGGAAGCATTGGTTGAAGGGGTTAAAATCCTTCTAAAGCCCCAAAGATGCCTTGTCCAGAGTGTTGTTTTGACTTGGACCTGTCTCTCTGCAGTGTTCAACAGGGCTCGAGGGCATCCTATAGAGAGAACCAACTATATCCAAGATCTTCAGAAGAGATCGGTAAAAAAGTAAGGCTTTTTGTGTGCGTAAGCAAGTGCACGTGTCCAGGGAGAGCTGCTGTCAAGCAACAGCCGTTAAACATGACCAGCTCCCAGGAAGGGAGGGAGAATGGGCCAGTGGGTAAAGAGGAAGGTGCCCAGTTGGGAGGCCTGGGTTTAGAGATCTCCACAGGCCTCCTGCCTGCCCTTTTTTGTTCGGGGAGCAAAAGGGTGGGGGTTTTTAAGTGTAAAAGAGCTGTTATGATTACTCAGTGAATCACTTAGGGACACAGTCAAGACATACAGAATTCTCTTTAAGGAGCTGCGGACTAAAGAATTCAGGCTCGGGCCCCTTCAGAGAAAAAGCCGGCGCTACACCAAATGCTAAAAATCAGATGGCCAAACATCCACATCGTTCGAACCAATCCCCCTTAGAGGTGCCCAGGTAGGTTTTTGCTTCTTGCCTCTGTGCATGCTGTACAGCTGAGCAGAGGGAACAAAAAGAACTGCTTTCTCATTTTCAAGAAACTTAAATTTGGATTTTTACGAGCTGCAACTCACACAAGAGTGTGCCCGTTGCCTTCCCCCCCTTGCAGCAGGGGGAAAAAACCTCCCTGAGACTTGTCTGGAGCCTACGTATCAACGTTGAAGTGTTCCTTGTGTCTCCAGTGGCAAAGCTCTTTGCCTCTGAATAATGGGCTTGTGCCTGTAGAGGAGGAATAACGGAACTGACGGTGTTGGTGCTAGCTCCCAGTGGGGCCAAAACATTCTCAAGCTGTCTTTAAAATTAGATTTCAAGGGACAAGAGGATTTTCAGGGATTTCAAGGCGGGTGCCAAGCAAGGCAGCTCTTCCCCGAGAGGGAAGCAGTCGCTCTCTGTTCCTAGGCTCCTCCTGTCGCAGCAGGGATGGCAGGAGAATGGTGAATGCAGGTAAAGAGCTTCCTCTTGACCTGAGGTGCACGTCCTAGATGGGAGATCCTAGCTCCCAAAACCTGGGATCCTGGCAGCTCCTAGCTCCCAAAACCACCTCGGGATCAGATGAGTGGTAGCC